TCCCCCAGTCATTGTTAACCGTCTTGAAGAATTTATCATTTTTCTCACCCATCTTTCTTGCAAAGGTAATCTTTACATTATCTTGTTCATTTTCTGTTGCGACTACATTGGTACGTCCGTCTCCTCTTGGGCTCCAGGTGGTACTGATCTTCATTCATGCCTTAGTCTTCTTTTTGGAGCTTGGCGGTGTTGTTGTGACTTTTAACCAAGTGATTCACTCATTCAAAGATACCATCTCTTGTATAGGATAATCCTTCTCATCACGCACCCTTCTGTACGCCTCAGCTAACTTCGCCCACTCCGCAGGCGTATGTTCATCATTGACTTTAGCTTTCCCTTTTGTCGGTTCTACTGGTGTGTTTTTTTTAGGCACCACCTCCGAACTTCGTTTTGCCCCTCGCTTGATATCCTCCATCTCCCCTCGTAGCTTCAACATATCGTGAATCAGAGCTTCATTATCCCATTTTCACGCTTCCAATATCTTTTCATCCAACCTTTTTTCTTGCACGAGTCTCCTCAGGGCCTCGTTCTCGTTCCTTAGCATCTCTAGCTCATCATTCTTCCTCTTTGTCGATTGATTTTGAGCCTTCTCCTTCTCACTTGTTATGTGTTTGTCTTCCTCTCTCCTCCGCAATTCGCCACTTGTGATCGTAGGGGCTTCGCTACTGGTACCTGTTTTCTTGCCGATGACTTCCTCACATACCTCCTTCATATTTGATCTGACCAATTCATATCGTTGAGCATTTTTTCAAAGTCCTCCCTCTCCTTTTTCTTCTTATTTTTTTCCTTTTCCAATTCATGGAGCTTCTTCCTCTCCTCTTCCTCCTTTTTAAGCCGCTCCTCTTCCTTTTTTTTTTTTCTTTTTTCTTTTGTCACCATTTCTTCTGAGAACCATCCCAAACATTATCCAACCTATCATTCTTCTCTCTTTCCTGGTTATCTACCCAATAGTTATCACTCTTCTGATATCCTCCTCCATTGAGATTATAACCGTTATTGTAACCTCCATTGTACCCTCCGTTGTAGCCGTTATTTGAACCTCCATTGCCTTTATAATTTTTATACGAACCTCCATCGTGTTGACCGTCATTGTTCCTTTGTGCCTGATACAACACGATTGCATTACTATCGGAGCAAGGAGCAGCCCATTGCTCTCCTACGGCCCCGAGCCTTGACTTTTACCCCCAGAAACACTGCCTAAAAAAGTTGCAGCATTCGGGATTTGCCATAGGAACGATAGGACCACAGATTCGGGATTTGCCGTAGTAACGATAGGAGATCTTCAAAGGATGTTGAGGCCGCGCCCTGAAAGATGTTGAAATTTGCACATTTTTCCACAAGCTCCCTTTCGTGGTTTCAAGTTTCGGTTTGCCGCAAGCGGGGGGGGTCGAGTTGGAAATGGGCCAAATAACCCTTGACAAAAACGTTTTACTAACACAAAAACTCAACAACCAGTGTGGTTATTCACAAATATCGAAAAACAATTTTTCGACACTGGTGTGGAGAGACCCTGAGTTTCAAACCTAGTGCAGGGGGCCCTTAGGGCCTCGCTGCACTACTCTCCACATGCACAAAATACAAAATAGATGGTCGTGTATCTTTCCATGTTCTACGAGAATATCCACTCTCCTTTTCCACATTTGGAGTTGGAGAGTAGTGCAACAATGCCCTTAATATTTTGTATTCCAACAGTTCAAGGGTGTACCACTTCTGGACCACTGCGACTCTCACGAAAGACAAAAACAATCATGACGGCGTATCTTTCCATATTTTAGGAGAAGATGCACTCTCGTTTTGCACATTTCCAGAGCTTGTTTTGCACATTTCCAAGGTAGTGGAGCCAGGTCTATGGGGTGTACCACTCTTTTGTATTTCTTTTTTTGAAAGGGTCACGGTCTCGAGATATCACGATTGCGTTGACCGACTCCTGACAATTCTCTAATGTTTTGGCCTTACTCGTCAAGTTTCATCACGTGGGTTCGCCCTCTGATCTGTATTTCAACAGTTCATGGGTGTACCCACTGAGTTAGGCTCTTGGGTACTCTTTTGTATTTCAACACTCCATAGATGTACCATCTATCGGAATGGAGATAAACCAACAGAGTTAACGAGGAAGAAAAAAAAAAGAAAGAATTTAATGTGCATTATTTTTCATCACAGAGCGGTAATAGGGCCTAGAGACAACTCTTGTCATCGGGCAACTGCTTGAAATAATCTGAAGAAGGAATATGTCTTGATGCTTTCACTATTGGCGGATGACGAACCACACCCTGCAGTTTTAATTAGCTATTACCCAACTTTTGAAGATTGTTTTCACTGAAGTAATCAAATTTGTCCTTACATAATACTTTGTGTGACACTAAGACTTCTTTACTTGTTTGTGGATGTAATTGAGATCAGATGCATCCAATTCTGCCCCAAGAAAAAAATGTTGTCAGATATATTTAAGATCGAGTCAGTGTGAGCACACCCTTAGAGTCGTGCAAACAAAATAACCTCAAGGCCATCGTCCTTTATTAAAATATATATATGTATATATATATAACGGAAATTTCAAAAATTGTAAAAGCTTATATGTTTTTCAAAAGCTTCCAAGGTGCTGTCACGTGGTATGGGTTGAGGCTATTGTCTTCCTGAAGTTTCAGTTGGGATTATCGTTTAGTGAATTAGAGAAGTAATTGCGGTCAGATGCATCCAGGAAAGTCCTCGTTTACCAAGCAATTAGGGTGTCCCACTAAAATGAATGTTTCATGGAGTAAAAAAAATATGCAATTTCTTTGAAGATGTTATTCCCCATGATTACACGTCAAGTTAGATTTCGCAAATCACATGTCAATTGGAGGGGGGGGGGAGGGGGCGGGGCTTATGAGTTCTTTCTCATACCAGTTTTTTCGTCCTTTATTAAAAAAAAAAAAAAAAAAAAAACTGAAATTACCGAAATTTCAGAAATGGTAAAAAGTCATATGTTTTTCACAAGCTTTCAAGGTGTTGTCACATGGTATGGGTTGAGGCTATTGTCTTCCTGAAGCTTCAGTTGGGATTATCCTTTACTGAATTAGGGAAGTAATTGCGGTAACATGCATCCAGGAAAGTCCTCATTTACCAAGCAATTAGGGTGTCTCACTAAAATGAACGTTTTATGGAGTGAAAAAAGTATGAAATTTCACTGAAGATGTTATTCCGCATGATTACACTTCAAGTTGGATTTCGCAAATCACATGTTAATTGGAGGTGGGGGGGGAGGGGGGGGGCTTATGAGTTTTTTCTCATACCTGTTTTTTAATTTTTTTAATTTTTTTTTTATGGGCAATGATGATTTTGTTTTCTTATTTCCCTACAAGTCAATGGCTCCTTTTAGGGGAACAACACTTGAGGACACAGAGTGATGTGCACTTTGTCCGCCCAGACTCCAAACAAACTCTCCAAATTTGGAGCATGTTAGAGAGTTGGGGGGAGGTCCATCCAGAAACCACTATTGAAGGCTGGTTTTCCTAGGCAGTTTCTGATAGCTATCCGAAGGTTTTTTAGGGGTGGAATCAGATAATTAGTGCATCGATAAAAAACTCTCTGAATTCGGAGTGCAGGGAGACTCTATGTTAGCAGTACCCGCCACCAAAAGCTTCAGAAGTGAGGTGTGGTTGAGTGTTGGCTCAGAGACAACAGAGGGGGTGCGAGAAGGGCAGCGATAAGGAAGTTTGCATTGAAGCAGCTCGGCTTAACACTGGTGGGTGACGAACCAGCTTTTGTACCCAAACAATCTTCTACAGCCCTGAGTTTTTGTTGTTCCTACTCTTCGGCTCTCTTTGGAGCTTTCGGGGTACCCCTCCTTTTGTTGTCACCTTAATGCACAGGATCACAGGCTACAACCCTGAGTTTTTGTTGTTCCTACTCTTTGGCTCTCCTTGGAACTTTGGGGGTTCCCCTCCTTTTGCTATCACCTTAATGCATGGGATCGCAGGTCAATCAGGCACTCTCACGATTAAGACAACGTTTTTCTTTTTTTACTTTTTTGCAATTTCTTTTCGGCAATTCATGCATCTATGTAAAAATTATGCACGTCTTAGCAAGCACGCTTTGTATTTTATTCGACAATTTGGGAACTCCAGAAATCACGGGCGCTCCTCCTGCTGACGTGTTCTTTCCTGCAAATAGATGTTTTCGCACTCACCCTTAAGAGATCTGTGAATTTCCAGTAGGAAGTTGGATAGACGTAGGATTTTTCACTCGCTCAATTTCGCACACAAATATTGTTTTTCCTGCAGATTTTTCACTCGCTCAATTTCGCACGCAGATGTTTCGGTGCCTTTTTTTCTTTCCTTCACCGATGCTATACATGAAAGTTTTCCTCACTTCCCGCAATGATCAATACCATCTACACCCTTCTCCTTTTCGAGCGTTCTTTCCTTCATCCGTAACTGTTTTTTATCCCCTCTTCTATTGCGCTTCTTTCCAACTTCCATTTCGTCAGAATCTTAGTCCCGCTCTGCACTACTCGTCGCTCTCCTTCTTCCCAGCTTCATCCCCATACAGGAACTTCCTATGTATCCCCTCCTCCCCAGGGTATTCAAGTCGTTAGGCGAGATCGTGTAAGTAGAATATTCCCCTCACGCCATAATCTGATTAGCTCTAAAAGACACACGGGGATCGATATGGCTTTCCCGGGCAGTTACCCAGACTTTTGCTTTACCCCCTCCTACCTTCATCCCATTCCCTCTCATCTTCTATCTCCCTCGTCACAATTATAAAACTCGCAAGCGCGTCTGAGAAAACACTCTTTCAACCCATCTGGCAGCTTCAGGGAAATTGTGGCTAGGTGATGTGCAAGTAGCAAGTCAGAAAGTCCTATCGAGCTGACTGCAGTGTAGGCAAGGTTGTGCGTCGGGTGGCAACGACAAACAACGGGATCTGGGCAAGTTGGTGCAAAAGTTGAGTTGGTGGGGTGACAATTGTTGTGCTATGGAGGTTGGTAAGGGAGGGTCGGGATCGGCAGTACCTGGGTGAGAATTGTGTGTGTGTACGACTGGTTGTATGACCAAGGGTCAGTACCATAAAGCAGAGGGTCGATGCGCATGGATTTTCGGTTCTTCTTCTTTTGGTTTCTGAAATTTGAGTTCACGGTGAGTAGTCAGTTGTTGTCCCCCTTAAGCTTGTTTGTATGATCAAAGTTTTCTCCCTCTCTCTCTTTTTAGTCCCCCTTCTTTGGTCAGTTACTCTCTCTCTCTCTCTCTCTCTCTCTCTCTCTCTCTCTCTCTCTCTCTCTCTCTCTCTCTCTCTCTCTCTCTCTCTCTCNGAGAGAGAGAGAGAGAGAGAGAGAGAGAGAGAGAGAGAGAGAGAGAGAGAGAGAGAGAGAGAGAGAGAGAGACGTGAATGAGGTCTCTTGTTCACGACCGAGAATTTGCCGACATATTCGGAGTATGGGGACGCACCTAGAGCGGACGGTGGCAGTAGAGAAAATTTCCCCTGCGGCTGTAGCTTGAGGCAGTTGAGCACGGATTGGTTGGGAAGCAGGGCGTAGGGAGAGAGGAGGTGGAGAAGGTGGGCGACGAGGAGGAGGAGAAGGAGAGGGAGGAGGATTGAGATAGGGAGAATAGGAATGCGGGATTGAAGGTTGGCGAGGAGGAGAGGGAGGAGGAGGAAGAAGAGGAGGAGGAAGAAGAGGAGGAGGAAGAGGAGGAAGAGGAAAGCGAGGAGAATGGATACAGGGAGAATAGAGAGAAGAGAGTGGTTGTTTTCACCGGGACTTCGCTGTCGCTGCGACTTTTCATCGGTACTTGGCTGTCGTTGCTGGACTCGCATTTGAGGAGAGGACGGGGCGATCTGATCTGTGATGTGAGTGAGGAGGAGGATCATGGTCTTAACGTGTGGGTGTGAGGTTTTAGTGAGTAATAGTGGCAGCATTCTGTGAAATTTGCGCTGCTGATTGTTGTGGCATATGGGCTCAGTATAAAGCACCTGCTGTTCTTGTCTTGCCCTGCGCTGTACTCATCTTGTAATTTTGTTGTAGGACGTCGCGGTAGTCTAAAGTTGTTGTTTTTGTGTTTCTAGTATTCAATTTGGGGCTATTTGTTCCTTAGTAGTGAAAGTAGTTTGTATTGGAAAGGGTTTGTGGTGATAGCGCTGTAGAGTGTTGGGCGGTGTTGTTGTAATGGAGAGGGGTTGTTGATATATATAATATCCGGATTGTTGTATTGCGCAGAGGGTTTGTTGATATATATTAGGATTGTAGACGGTTTGTTGATATATATTAGGATTGCTGTAGTGGAGAGGGTTTGTGGATATATACTAGGAAAATTCGATGGTGATGGAAAAGGAAGGAGGGGCACGTAATCGCAGGGCGATGTTGTTGTACATGCGAGGGTGTTGATAAGGTCAAAGGTTTGCGGAGAGTTGTAGCACCGCTGTAACTATTGCATTGTCCTCTGGGTCCGGAGGAGGGAAAGAGAGAGGGGGAGGGGAGGGGGGGGCGGGGGAACGGGCCAGGGGGCCGTGGGGGCGGGGGCGGAAGGAGTTGAAGATCGTTGCCTTTTCCGTTTGAAGAAGGTTTTGTCTGTTCAGGGGTGCTGTTTGGGATTGAGATGTAGGTCGAGATTCTCCTCCTTTTCAGGTGTGTAGGCGACTTATTTGGGAGGCAGCTGGCCCCCGATTAAAATCTGTAGGTCGGGATCCCGTCTCTTCTAACACAGAGGATACGCCCGCTAAAGGTTGAGGCCTTCGCTTCTGTTTTGCACGGACGTCCGTGGCCGGTTTTCCCTCCTCTACACCTCTCTCTCTCTCTCTCTCTCTCTCTCTCTCTCTCTCTCTCTCTCTCTCTCTCTCTCTCTCTCTCTCTCTCTCTCTCTCTTCCGTGGCCCTTTTCTTTCTGTGTATTAACGCTTGCTTCTTGGGGTCTGTTTGAGGGTATTTTTCGTCCGCAACGCTCTTTTCTGTGCGGTAACGCTTGCCGCTCTTCGTCAATCTGTCTCTTCTCGCCTGTTTCTGGGCCTTGGCGGCTTTGCGGTTTATGGCATTGAATTTCTTCCTCCGAGTGAGGGCTGTTTCTCTAGTCCTCTCTTATTCCAGTCACACTGCTGCTAGTCCTTTCGTCTGTTTTCCTCTTCTGTCCAACTATAAGCTCGTAACAGTTGTCAGTCTGTAGACCTCTGCTGTCCCCAATTCTCTTCCTACTCTCTCTCTCTCTCTCTCTCCTTTTTTCTCTGTGTATGTCTGTTTCTATCCTTCTCTCCATCTTCATCTCGCTGGATGCATCACTCTTCTGTCACTTCTACTGAGCACGCACTGGGGAGGCTCGACTTTGTTCGTTGTTTTCTTTTTTTCCAGTTTCCTGCCCTACTGCATTGTAGACTTCAAGGCATATACTCGCAGCAGGGCTCTCTGGGATGTATAATGGCGCAATGACTAGTAGATTCGGCCGAATAAGTCCGTACAGTGAGTAAACCTTCATTCTTAGCCCTCCCCCATGTATGCTTTCTCTCCTTAGCTAGTTCTACTGTTTCTCTCCTTAGCTAGTTCTACTATCCTGTCGTGTCAGAATTTCCTGCGGAAAAGCACTTCGTTTGCAGACTGCGTTGTGAGAGGTGGTAGTTATACCCTCGCCTTTTATGTCGCTCTCCCTACCACCTTTCTTGTACTATTGCGAGTGCTGTTTTGTCACTGCTTGAAGGGAATTTCTTGCGCGCTTCCCCTGATCTCTTGTCGACTCTGTAAAGGCTTTTCGGTAAGTGCAGCGCCGCCTCTCCTCTCCTCTCCTCTCTCTCTCTCTCTCTCTCTCTCTCTCTCTCTCTCTCTCTCTCTGCGTCACTCTCTCTCTCTCTCTCTCTCTCTCTCTCTCTCTCTCTCTCTCTCTCTCTCTCTCTCTCTCTCTCTCTCTCTCTCTCTCTCATTTTGCTTATGTCTACCCAATAGGTATTCGACTGACCTGATGCTTCCTCAGTCTCGCTCGCCCTTGTTGAATGTAATCGAATCTCGCACGAACGACGAAGGTCAACAACATGTATCCAGTTCATGCTCTCATACACACCAAAAATTGCTTTTATATATCCAATACATGATACTCTTATCATTTACCTAAGACACTTTCTATTCTAATTTTTTTTCTCATTTTAAACTAATGTCATCTCATCAACAAAATCAAAATCATTCATCATTTTTTTTCTCTATTTTTTTTTCACGTTCTCTCGTGCGACAATTGTTTTCTGCCTCGTTTCTGACACCCAATCCTTTTATTATGGTTCATCTAGCTCTTCAATCTGATAGGCCATGAAGTCTCTGCATCATACAATCTTGTATGAACCCAACCACCTTTTGTGGAGTTTCCTTGACCATTGCTCCTCTAACGAGGAATCGCACATTAAGACAATATCTCCCACTGTTTATGACTCTTTTCATACACTCGTCATCTGATCACAACGGATCTTATCATCCAAGCAACTATTTTGTACTCGGCTTGATGCTTTTTGGATCCTTTCTTTAATAAATGTCACTTGTCGTGCCCGAATATCGAGTTATTCCTCAAATGACAAGTTTGACTATAGATTCTGACGTCTCCAAGTATTTATAAAACTTTCAATAGGAAAAGCCGCATGACGTACATACCATAATGTGGCAGGAGCGTATTTAGTTGTCTTCTTGACAGTGATATTCTTGAGAAAGAAGGTCGCCCTAAGATATTTCGGTCATTGATTGGGTCTACCCTTGGTCCATCTAGCAAGAAGATTCGTGATGGTGATATGACCTCTCTCAACGGGCGCATTTGCTTGAGGATGTGAGACTGTGGCATAGTTCGCTACTACAACATATCCTGTCAGTGCACCTCTAGACAGGTTAACTCTGCTCCTTTGACCATCACGAACTCCGTGACGAAAGGGTTATAAAGATAATATTTTTCGATACAATTTGCTAACGTTTTGTCGGTCTTTGCACAGATGACTTTACCATCCACTAATCCGGAAAGGTTATCTTGTGCATCGAAGATGAAATTATACTCTTCATTTCTAAATGACATAAATAGTAGGTCAAGGTGTACGGTTGCCCACACTTCTCGCTCCAGTTTGAGATGCAACAACTCTACCGGCCTTTGAAATGATATTTATTGACAAGGTATACAAGACTTGTTGTACTTGATAATCATCTCTAACATGCCTTTCCAATGATAGAGCTAGTTAATCTTGATATATTATGAAGCATTCATCCCCCTATGCTCAGCTGGCATACCATTATGTAGGGTTGTGATGACATCAATTTGCTGATTTCTGCCACATACGACCTTCTTGGGGTTCCCTACTTGCCACTTCATAAAAAGATAATCATCTCTTTTAAAAATTTGTAGTCTTAACTTCAGAGTCTTCTCACTTGCATCTTTGTTCCTTACATCACAGTAAAGGAGCAACCCCAACTAAAGATAAACTTCGTCGTATCTTCTGCACGAAACGCTTCCTATTGACAAGTTTTGAACATATGACATGTGGGACCACATTCAAGAAAAGAAGTCAGATAGATGGAAGGAGATACTTTCTACAAAAGACATAGTGGTAGGATATCGCATTACGAAATGTACGTTTCAGAGATTCCTCCCATGTTTCAGTCATGAAGAGATGAAACACCCATTTGACCATCAGGCCATGCTGGCGGTAACGTCTCGGGGAATATGCAATTATGTTGATACTTATTTCTGTGACATCTTGACCTTTAGACACAGACCTAACGAGATAGAGGAAGGGCAAGTTCAACTCACCGACCTGTGGGAAGTCGTTGATGTCCACATACCTCATGTTGGACGTCTTTATCTAGACAGACCCTTAGTCATTGAGGAAGTCAAAACACCAATCAAAGCGATGGTTAGGGGTAAAGCTCCGGACTCAGACTCGGATGGAATGTCAGTGAAGTTTTTAGAGTTGTCCTGGCCGGAGTTAGGGGAGGTTATCGTGGATATCTACAACAATGTACAAACTGGTGGTGAATTCTCAACCAGTATGTGTCACTGTGTGATCACGTTACTATAAAAAAAAGACGTTAGGGATGAAATCAGAAACTGAAGGTCAATATGCAGACTGAATGTATTGTACAAAATCCTAGCTAAATCACGGGCCAGACAACTGACGAAGTACCTACCAGCGTTAATAAAACATGGCCAAGCCGCGTTTATGCAATGACGCTCAATTTTTTAGAACATTGTGATGGTCATTGAGTCATTAAAGACTGTGGAAAATGAATACAAACCTCTATCTATTCTTCTGTTGGATATAAAAAAAACGTACAACAGGGTGAATTGGAGCTTCGTCCTCACTACCTTACGGAAAATTGGGTTCGACGATAATTTGTGTAGATGGGTGATAGTGTTATACACCCACTCCACCACCTCGATCATGGTAAATGACCTCCTTTCATACTCATTCGCATTGACTCGATCTCTGAGACAAAGATACCCTTTGACTCTGTTGTTGTTTGTCGTTCTATTATAAGCAACTATGTGTAATATTAAATGTCGACTGGAGATAGTAGGTCCGACTCTGAGGAATGAAGAATTTAAGATCAAAGCATTGACCGACAATCTGTTCGTAATCTGCGAGAACTCCACTAGGGCACTGGAGACCCAAAGAACTTCTAAATTAATACTCTCTCATCTTAGAAACAACACTGGCAAAAATCATTGTACTTTCTGCCACAAGACATAACTCTTGAAGTAGACTTGGGTATGAACTGCATAAACAAAGGGGAGGCAGAAAGGTTTCTGGGAGCGATGATTGCGTTGGGCTCTTGCGAAAATGCGTAGGAATAAGTTATGCAAAACAACATAATCTCAAAGATCAAAGCCAAGGGTATGACTCCTCATCTCTCATTGTTTGGTTGAGCACTGGTGGTTGAGAGAAGGTTAATAACAGTCGTATTTTTCATCACCACTTCATGACACCCTTCACCACTTCAGGATGCAGCCTGCCTAAACAGGTGATTTTCAGGTTTTTCGAACCTTTCACCACTTCAAAACACTCTTTACCACTTCAGGATGCTACCTGCCTAAACATGTGGTTTTCAGGGTCTTGGGACGTTTCACCACTTCAGGACCATTCACGATTTTTCGACTGCCAAAAACTCTCACTTCATAATTTTCATTCCTGAATTTTCGGCTACCCGTTAACCGCTTGTGTGGTGGTTAATACCTTCCTCCTTTGCTGAGACTGACAAAGAGAGTTTCTGCAAGATTCATTTGAGAACCCAAAGTGGAGCTAGAGCACAAATTTATCACAAAGGTTGCATGAGAGTTGATAGTGCAATTTAGAGAAGAAGACGGTTTGGTCATCAATGACCCACACAAAAGGAACTGCCACCTGTTCGCAAACAGGGTGGTGAAGGCAACATAATGCGAAGGCACGAAGCATTAGGTCCTAGTGGGCAAGTATATCCTAGTGACAAAATGAGAGCTCTCACAATAAGAAAATGCGTGGCTCTGCCTTCAGTTGGACTCATTTCAACAAGTGCAAATGTTTCCAATGCAGATGACATCGATGAACAAAGACGTGAAGAATTCCGAAGGAGGATCATGGAGTAATCGTCCTCAAAACATTCATGAATGGGCTTGTGGACACGAACATAAAATATGTGTGAAGTCTCTTGTTACGCGAATATGAAGTAATAGAAACTTATATAGAGTACAAGGACCCCGCGTTTGACGGACAAAATAATATCATCATTCAAGTAGTAGAAGATTGGACAATTTATACAAGGAGAGACAAAAATGTTGTCTTGATCACATTAGTTTCAAGCAGGATATTTGTACGTGTTTTCGGAGTGTCAACTGCACTTTGCTTTCAAATTTTTATTTTTCTTCCAAGGTCACATACGAGGTCATTATGTTCCTTCCAGATTTCTATATTTCAATCATTTTGAAATTTGATTTTCCCTGCCCAAACAAAGATTTACATTGTGCATTGCCAACTTGATGCGACACTCACGTCGATGGCTTTGAGACATCATCTAAGTTCGAACAACCCAGTACTGCGTAAATGTAGAGTTATTTGCTCATCCGAGTTCAATGGAATTCAGACTGAGATTTGTGTTTTAACAGTTTATGGGTGACACTGCTTTCAATTCTTTTTTAATATTGAACTTTTTTTCTTCCACGGTTTCCATAATTGAACCTGACATCCTTCTCATTTAAGGGTTTTGTTGTAGTTTCAAGCAGAATTTTTGCACATGTTTTCGGAGTGTCAACTGTACTTTGCTTTCAAATTGTTATTTTTCTTCCAAGGCCACATACGAGGTTATTCTGCTATTTCCAGATTTCTATATTTCAATCATTTCGGAATTTGATGTTCCTTGCCCAAACAAAAATTTACATTGTGCATTGCCAACTTGATGCGACACGCACGGTATTTCACTAGTTTTAACACTTTGTCTAAGTTTTGCGTTTTGCAATATGTGTTCATATTATGTAAGGTTGATATGATACTTATATGACTTATTGTTCTTGGATTTTGCGATAAAATTGATGTATTCATGTCATGAAAGGTTGAGATATACAATAGTTGACTCATGAAACTTGTATTGATGCAGATATGCAATTTTCTTTTGAATACTTGACTATACAATATTTGTCAATAACATGCTAAAATCCTCGGTTTTTGTTGTGAAATTTACTTCTTTTCTGACGAATTTGTTGATTTCATTATTTTCACTTTTTACAAAACATTTCATTTTTAACGAAAACACTATTCAACAAAGA